TTTAGATCGCTCAAGAATAGCGAGGGAAATTGCGATAGTGAGGGAATTTTGTTGTCGAAGGAAGGAGGCGCGGCAAACGCTCGCAAGTAACAAGAATAAGAAAGACCATAGACATCTGCGAAGCAAACTTTTAAAACTAGTCGATTATTGCCAGAAACAGAACGATCACAAAGCAACGAACTTTACAACATAAAACAAACAAAACGGACCGAAATCGTCCAATCACGAACCACAAACTACAACCTTCTGAAATCCTTAAAGTAAACGTGTTTCCTAAGACGTCTGCTAAGATGATTGACTGAACATAAAGCCCCAAAATTTGCAAAACGCACAGCGCGACACAATGAATTTCGCTGTAAGTAGCAGTATAGATGACGTTTTAGCTGCAGAGTGGTAAGACTGTACTACGGTCTGTTAAATGGTTATCAAAATGTGTTTCATATTAGGTTTGAGAAAGAAAAACTGATTTAGTATCTTTTTCAGGCAAACAGTTTGTGATTTAGGATTCTATTCATCTTAAAGCAGTGCTGAGTTTTTCTAGTTAATGCTAAAATTAATCACCAAAAACTACAGAATGGAGGCCTTCGTTATTTGTGGTGTACATTGAAAAGAGTATCTATAGACGTTTTCTTGTCAACTTGCTTTTGCAGTGTACGTCTGCTGTTCTGAGGGCCTACGGGGGCCCGCCTGCGCAAATACATATACGCTCCTTATATATTCTCTTTTTCGTGGAGCTGCGAGAAGAGAAACATTTCTTCTTGGCTACGAAACGCTTATGAAATGTACCTTATTCAGGAAACAACAGCATGTGGAAGGAGATTATTGTATGAACAAGAATACATGCAATTGTTATTGCTATAGGCTATGCATATTAACAGACAGAACGTACACTTTCAAGATACGTATTACAAACTTGCCTTGGCTTAAATAAAGCTGATACATATAATAGCTATATAATCGGTCGCTTTCTATGCTATCATAATCATATGCTAATTAGTAATAAAAAGTAATAAAACGAAAGATACTTTGATTTTTGTGTTGTGGCCTTTCTGTAGTGAAGAAATAAATAAAACAATGAACAACTGAAGGGTTAAAACCCAGACAAACAGGTGGCAATTTCCTTAGAAAACATTGACACTAATGCAAATGTCAAAATCAGACATTTTGTCTTAAGGACTTGAGTTTTACTAGAATCACTTGTGACTAGACCTCCCCTTGTCACGTGCTTATCACATGTCCCTTGTTTGCTGTCACTTAAACACAAGGCGTGATCCATCACGTGGAAGATGTACTGCTGTTCCACAACACCATGAAATAAGTAGGCTTCAGGACCGTCCGCGCATATACGTGAAGTAGTGCAACGGAAAATTAGGCAAAACGTCATTGACTAGATCAAAAAAGAAAACTGCCAAGAAAGAATTATAATTTTGCATTATGCCCGCATGTATTTCTTTGTGCAACACAAAGTAATACATGGTTGCCTGACCAGTAGCTCAAACTCAAGATCAAGAAACGAGTGGCAATAGATAATTCATAGCGACCCTTTTTGCCCCAAAACGGTACTGGCTGAACGCACGAAACAAACAAACACCTTGAACGTATAAACGAGGAAGTTTTAACATAAAGCCCTATTTGTGGAAATGATTTTCAGTTACAAGGGCAAAATACACGGCCGTCAAGTAAAGCGAATAACATGTCTTAAAACTAGCGAATACACTGCAGAGGATTCAGATTCATTCCAGGTCCACCGGGCCACGATTTAAATAAAGTATTCGTGTACGGACGTTTCCATCAGAAATTAAGGTAATGTCTTAATGTTCTCTTTGTCATGATTGCCAGCACTGTCTATACTAAGAACGTGATTTAGCGAAGCCTAAGGGCGGAGCTCTCGTTTACATACTTATATTTACTTGAAACGGTACCACTGCAAGGAAATTCATAAGTCTAAGTCAAGATAGCAGTGATGTTTTTCGAATTTGCCCCGTCGCGTAGAAATCCGGGTCCATTGAGATCAACAAAAAATTTCCCGTCCGGGTAGGGGTTAGTATTTTGCCGTTTTTAGCCGTGACACTTCTGAATGAAGCATACATGAGGTAAAAACAATAAAACGGTCAAAGAGTACTGGAAACAAGTTTAACCCATTCGCCCCTGAACCGCCTGTAACCGCCCGTGCGGATCCAGGTCCTTTCTACCCTTTGTGACGTCATCAGTTTTAACGGTCAAGGACAACTTTCTTCGCTAACTTGTGCAGAGTGAAGAGATCTTTCAAACCATACCAGAATGAGCACAATTCAGTCAAGGACACCGGAGAAAGAAGCAAAAAACCACGTGACAAGGACTTGAAAATCTCCATGAACATCTTGTTCCATTACCCACCGACCTTTCCTTTCACCTAATCCTAAGATCCTAAAAACTCTTCCCACCAAAATGAAGCCTACTAAATGCCCAGCAAGAGAAAAAAAAAATGAGGCAAGAAAAGCGAAAAAAGAAGGGAGGAGAGAAAGCGAAAAGTAAAAGTCAAGACTGCTGTGTTACTTTTAAACCCAAAATTTTGCTTTCTGCGCATGCCCGAACTTCGCAAGCTGATATTTTGCATCTGGATCAGAAGGCCGCCAAGTGTACGACCTGTAAACCGGTTTGTGGTAAGTTTTAGCTCTTTATAGCACAACAGTGACCAGAAAACCACTCGACTAGCTTCAAAACGCGTTTTTCGGCAAAATCTCCAGGAGCGAATGGGTTAAAAAAAAAAAAAAAAAGATGGCGGCCGAAACGCGGAGAATTTTTTTCTGGCTTTCAAAGACGTTTTCTGGAAATTTTCTTCGCGCTGGCTACCCCTCACGGGTTCAAAGACAAACAAAAAAAACAGTTTTTATCACAATCCTTGGTTTAAAAGACTGTGATGGTTTTAAAGGCAGACAAGATATGTCAAATATGAGGTGGTACCGTTCGAGATTTCTGCAAACTTTGGTTGTAATCTTTCCGCGAAAGTCTACGCAGCTGAAAATCCATACAAAAATAGCGATTTTTTGGTTGGTTTTTAGCACGAAAAACCCAGTGAAATCCGATAAGCTGGCATTAATCGAAGGTAAGATCTTGAATTTGATGTTTCTTGGTATAAATATTCCGGTGGTACCCACTGAGATTTGGTTACGACTAACTCACAATCAGAGCCAAAATCTCCGAAAGTCGCTTCAGTCTTATTATTCCGCCATATTTTAAAGACCAAATCGTGGCTCGAATGCGGCTCTAGCCTGTTAAATTCCCGGATGTGACCGGGCATTCTACGCGATGCTGTCAAACTAATATATGAAACCTAATTTGACCTATTTATTTTTTTCACTCAGTTTCCTAGAAATTTGATAGGAGTTTAAGACCACTAAAACACTTACCTACGTCTTCAATTCCATGAGTTTCCTTGTACCTCATTACCGTGGCTTGTTGAAGAAAGTCTTTGTCAGCTGTATCAACCCCTGTGAGATTTTCCCTGCTACCATTAACCCCTCCAGGTCCATTGGCACATCCTAGAGTGGTGAATGGTTTCTCATCACTGCCAAGGAGTGGTTTGTTATCGTAAATGTCCCTCACCACACCAAAGATCGGATTTCCTAGTTTTGGGTAGCCACCAACAGTGAATACGTGTGAATGGTCAGCGGTTGCAATAATAAGCGTGTAATCTGTGTGTGAGAAAATGATCTAATTTTAAAGTTCGCCAACAACTAAAACGTACACGTTATTTGGTTAGAGAGAAGTAGAAACCGGCTGCTTCTTTTTTTGCGCAGGAATCTCATTAACTTGCTTAGGGTTAAATAAACGCCAATGATTATATAGCCTTTTGTCTCTATCTCATAAGTAAAATGCATTGGAATCTCATTACGGTAAAGTCTTGTGCTATTGTACGTGGCTTAGACTGTTAAACCCGCCATATACTATTTTGAGGTGGTTAAACATGCAACTATGACGTCCTCGGCGTTAACGTGTGATTCAGCTCATTCTTTCTTGCATAAAGTGTACGTAGAGAAACCTCACCCATCACATGATCAGTCTTTTCCACGTCAATCTGGTCAAATGCTGTCTTTTTCCAAACATAGAGGGAGTTAGAGTGCTTGTTGACCTATTCATTGATAAGATTTCTTCCGTCTAATCTCTCTCCAGTTTCCCCCTGGTACTTAGGGTCAGTGTGGTCTTGAGACATCATTTCTCCCCTCCGCCCGCGAATACAACTTCTAGACCATTGCCTTGGGGTATTCTACAAGTTGCTAGGCTGATTAAAAGCCCATTGCCAGCCTTGATGCATTGCGCGCCGCGAACACAAATACCGCGAATTTCGTGTTACACGAAATTACTGATAGTTGTGAAAAGATTTCCCAAAGATCTGGTAATCGTTCGAACGACTCAGTCTGTCCGTTTGAAAAAAATTGTCATCCATTCGAACGGCAAGGGTTATCTGCTCGAAGAAAATAGTCATCCATTCCAACGGCTCAAATATCTGTTCAAAAAATTTGTCAGCCGCTCTACTGTTCCAAACCACTTCCACCCGAGTCGTTTTTCGACGAACCTGTCTAAAAAAGTAAGCTTGAATAATTCTTCTTAGCGTTGTTTACCATCGCCTCATAAATATCCACGGTATATTTCCTGCTGAATAGCCTTCTTTGCTTTCATAATATTCGATTCTCGTCACAAGTTTTATTCAAGACTAAGTTGTAATATTCAACAAATTAATATCCCGAACAAGTCATGTTTTGACCTTTTCGTAATCAAATATGAAACGCCTTTGATAGCCGTGGGAATACTCTCTCACTGTCAGTAAACTTTGCCTTTTTAAAATACCATCATCCCCCTTCACCACTTCCAGGAAAACAATAAAAAACATCTTCACGGTGGTTTACATTTGTAAACTTGAATGAACCTGTGTATTTTTTCACATTACGTCGGCATCTCACGGAGCAGTGCACGATTCTTCCAGGTAAATCTGAAATGTCAATGGACTCACCCACTTCCATGAATAATAATACTTATTTACTGACTTTGCAGGCGAATTGTGCAACCATTTCTCAGATGAGGAAACACACAACGCCGACAAGACCTGACTATTTTCTCTTTTTGCGAGAAAGCCAAGCAAAAGTGTTGACCAACCAGAGCACGCCATTTATTTTAAAACAAAAACAAACAATCGCGTTGCATCAAGGTTGGCAATGTGCCTTTACTGCGCTTTTCACAAACATGCGAACTCTAAAGTTCAAAAGCCGCCGTCACAATTGCGTTTTTCGCTGCCGTCAATCATAATTACGATCACAAGCAACGAACCTTGAAACACAGAAAGACACAAAACGGATCGAAATCCACCAATCACAAATCACAAACCTTGACCTTTTGGATCCGTGAAAGTAAAGTTTTGTTTTAAGAGGTCCGTTAAGATCATTGACTGCAGCGAAGAACGCAATCGTCAGTTGGCTTTTGAACTTCAGAATTCGCATGTTTGTGAAAAGCGCAGTAAGGAAAAATAAAAACATAAAAGTGTTAAAAAGGAAGCTTTGGAAAAAGAGGGTGCTGTAGATGAGCTTGAAACAACCGAGGCAGCGAGGCTTCTGAAGAAACTTGAGTTACATCTTTACTATATGGTCAAGAAAGTACGTTTTTAAAAGGGAATTTTTGTATAAAGGTATCATAGACGTTTTCTAAATTTTGAAATCGGCGTGAAAGAAAAACCAAAAAATGTGCATTTGAAATTGATTTTTTGCCATGGGCTCATCCGATTTCACTTGCGTGAACGGATTCACGATCCAATTAGTATTATACGCGAATTGCTTTTTAGGATTAACTTACGTGTATGGGTTTCTGAATAAGAATTTTCGACCAAGTAACTTATTTATCTGTTATTGTTCATTCATAACATTAGCTCAAAACACGATCCTGTGACTACAGATCGTAAGATTTTTAGAAACACTTTAGACGGGTTACTCCTCATTCTTGAATCAAAACTTAAGCGTTGTTTTTGTACATGTTCCACTGAATTACTATCTACTATCTACTCATGAATCCTATGTACTGGATTAATCCGCTAACTATACCATCTACTATGACCTCATGAACCCTAATTATTTCACTGTCTACATTATTATCCCATTTTCATCCGCCTACTGCTCTAGTACCCCTACATCCCGCATTCGTTAATATTCACGTAATTCTAATTTATCCCAAAATACTGACATTTCCCATTCGTCAACATCATCAGTAGCAATTAATTCATCATTTTCTGCTTCACTAAATTGTGATTAAAAAAATTCAGCTGTTTCCAATTCATCAATATAGTCGTCAATATCAATTATTACGTACCATGGTGGTAATTCATCATCAATATCAATAAATGAATATTCCTGTTTTATTTTCATAATTTCTAATTCCGCAATATATTCATCAATATCAATTATTTCACAGTCTCGATTTATTTCCTCAATTTCCAGTTCCCGAATATATTCATCAATATCAATTTCCTCAGACCATGGCGGTAACTCGTTGTCAATTAATTCCGCAATGTATTCATCAATATCAATTATTTTAGACCATGGTGGTAATTCCAATATTGGTACTACTAATTCATTCGACTCAAGGTATTGCATCCATATAAATAATTCGTCATCTGTATCTGGAAATTCAGCATTTATTTCGCCTTTTGTTTTTACCAATAATTCAGCTTCAATTTCAGCACCCGCTATTTTGATTTGTAATTTGTCATATGTTGTTTTACCGGATTTTTTAGTAGCTCCCAATGTGTAGAACGTACTGCCAATTAATTTGGCTCCCTGTTCTTGCAGCTGAAAAATTTTGTCGGAATAGATTCTGATCATATTATCAATTTCACATAAACTCATATCATGACTCTTGGCCATCAATATAATATAGTGTTTTGCCTTTAAACCATTTTCAAATTGGGTTTTGCGGTTTAATTCGTGAATTCCGTGATAGCTGAGTGTGAATTTTGGAATCCCCAGCCATCGTAGTTCAGCTTACTATCAGAAATATATATATTTTTATTTTATCATAATGTTGTTTTTTACTCATTTTCAGTGTAGCCCATTTAGCAGTCCCAAGGAACTACTTCAAGCTTGTCAGTTTTTAACCAAGAATTCTCGTCAATTTTTGGATTGACAACGAAACACTTATGTCGAGATGGCTTAACTATAAGAATAGTGCCTTTGTAGAATGGGCTATGCCTAGTCGACGCGTTCTTATTTCTTTTGGCAGACTGTATCCGCATGTCTATTGCATTTTGTTTGTCAAGTCCGTGACTGCGGGTATCAGCTTTTACAAATACCCCGAAAACAGTATTTAAAATCTGTTTGAAAATAAATTTGGTTGAGTTTTTTTCCTCTGAAGTAATTTTTTAGCTTTGAGGGCGGCCGGGTTTTTTCAAAACACCCTATAAACAGCCTGTTTAAGTTAGGTTTGGAAACAGGTTTCCTTTCAAATACCTTTTAAATGAGGATAGTTTGTGAAAATACTGTAAAAACAGCCAGTTTTAATCCTATTTGGAGAGATTTCAAGGTGTTCGTCATTGCAAATCACAATTTAAATTGAACTGCCTCTTAAACCTTCTTTAAACATGTTTTAACCGTGCTACTTATGAGCTGTTTAAGGTCGTAGACGAGGAAGTATATTCAAAATAGTCTTTAAACATCCTAATTAAAACCTGAATTTGAACTTTAATTGTAAAAACTACTTTTTAAATCTTTGATTTTAAGTTCTTCTTTCCAAAATGCAGTTTAAATACGGTATTTAAAAAAATTTTAGCAACAGGCCAGTACTCTAAATACTGTATTTAAAATGTATTTTTGATACAAATATATCTCAAATACAAGGAAAACCTGGGAAAATGTTATAGATATTATTCAAATAGATGTCAAGCTTCTAACGCTATTTTGGTTTTAGTCGTGAAATATATAAAAATACCTCAAATTGTAGTAAAAATTGTTTTTAAATTGTTTGCTTTAAACTACTTCACAGACAGTTTTAAAATACAGTCGATTTGGTGCGGGGTTCCCATCAAAAATTACAACTTTGAAATAAACATTTTCTTATGATTTAGAATAAACTATTCTCGAAACTGGGAATCGAACTGAATGAGTCCATGCAGCCTCGCGTTTGTTTTTATTTCACCCATTGTATGGAATATGTGTGAAAATCTTCGTTATGAATCGGTATATTTTGAAGAGCTACAAAACGACCAAGAATACTATTGACCGACAATATACAGAGCGGGGAAAGCTGTAGTGTCAACTATTACCAGTTATATCCCTTATGAGTATTAACCAATTTAGTGAATAGCACTTTTCGCGCATTTTGATTGGCTCCCGTAACTCGGAATATCCTTGGCTATTCACTGTTTTGCGACCGGAGCCAAGATGACACCTCGCTTCGAGACATTTTCCGGAAGACGAAATTTGAGCTATAAATGAGGCAGTCGCACAAGCAAATACAAAGACAGCGACTTACTTTGGCTTGTCGGTGTTTACTGGTAGGTAGAAAAATATTTTAATGCTGTATTTGCAACAAAATCGTAAACATGCACTTGACAAAATCCCCGAAATGTTTGTAAATTGTAAACAAAGTTCCCACTAAGTGACGTTTTTTCTTTTACGAAAAGCTACTTTTTTCATTTTTATCCAACTGATTTGGTAAATACTAAAACAACTATCCCCCCCAGGGTCGGTGAACAGCGCTAGATATTTACCTAGACGCCTCGCGTCTATAACCACCACTATTCACCTCCCCATCGGGGCTTGTTGTATACTATTACGGAGAATCTTTGCGTGTTAGAAATTAATTTTATATTCGAATAAGGCACTGTTACTTGAAACATTTTTTGGTTACGTATACAGTGTGAAATGTTTGGATTTGTTAAGGTTTAAAAAATTATCACAATTTTTACTGACTCATTTGCCGAAGACGAATTCACTTTTCTTCTTTTCAATGACCAATGAGAATTCTGTTGAAAACGCACCCTCTGAAGGCTTGAGTATTTGATTTGTTCTTTTTATTTTACAGTTAAAAGAATTTCACGAGGTAAACGTTCTCAATTTCTTGTAACTACGGGAGCTGTCAGATCCAAAATTCAGTCACCTATTTGCGAAATTCATGAATTAATCAGCAAAAACGAAACAGATATAAAGACAAGACGCTATATTCTATTGATCACAGTGAGTCAAGATATGAGTTTGAGTGAAATTGATAATATGATTAGAATCTATTCAGATAAAATTTTTGAGTTGCAAGAACAGAGAGCCAAATTAACCGGCAAGACGTTCTACAAATTGGGTGCCACTAAAAAAACCGGGAAAACAGCATATGACAAGTTACAAAACTGAACTTGCGAAACGAGAAATTGAATCCGAATTGTTAGCTAAAGTAAAAGCCGAAATAAATGCTGAATATCCAGATACAGATGATGATTTTGATATTAATGACTGGATGTACCACTTGGAACTGAATAAATTAGCAACACCAATTTTACAATACAGAATACCAGTACCAACGCCGCGACAAAAATATGATTCTGTTGTGGTCGATATTGATAATTATATTAATGAATTGAGAACCCATAAGGAAAAATATGAATTAACTGATGATGAATTACCACCATGGTCTGAAATAAATGATATTGATGATTATATTAATGAACTGCCGTTACAAGAAGAAAATGATGAATTATCATCATGGTCTGAAATAATTGATATAGACGACCACATTGATGAATTGGAAACAGAAGAATTTTATGAATCACTATATAGTGATACAGATAATTGTGAATTAATTACTATTGACGAAATTGATGAATGGGAACGGTCTATATATTGGAAACACGGAACGGAATTACAGGAATATTTACGATTAAGTGATGTGGGGGGTTTTAGAACAGTGGGCTGATGAAAATATCATAATGTAGATAAATTGGTAAGTTCATGAGATCATAGTAGATAAAAATTTAACGCTTTCATTTTAATGA